CGATCGGTGGATGGCTTTAAAGTCACGCCATGTCGCGCATCGGTAGCTTATCCTCCTGATGAGGCTGATGTAGATTACCCCTGAGAGTGTGTGTGTTTTAAGGTCATCAATGAAGAGGCCGTGCTGACCTCATCTTTACTCTGAGCGGCTTCGATAACTCAGACAGTGTCCCCAAAGATAGTTGTAAAAGTCTAATGAACTCATTTTTCATGGCAGCCATCTTGGAAAGCTTTAATGACAAACAACGCAGACACCAAGAAACTTCTTTACAGTTAATTAGACATAGATTATTTACTGTTGCTGCACTGGGTGTGATAGTCTGTGCACCGACGAGCAATTATGCAAAAGTCGATTCTTTAAATTGAATCATAGCCTACCGCCACGGTGCTACTTTTGACACGGAAATAATCGGTTCATGGTAAATTGTAAACGTGCAAACCAACACATAGAGCAAATTGGAGGTCAAATTGTTGAAGTATTTGCCAGAAAAAGGGAATCCTGGCACAATAAATATGTTAGCATTGAAATTAAAATAATGGGAAATATTAAAACCACTTTGCTTTAAAAAAAAAAAAAAAAAAGACCTTCATGAGTCAATTTCATTTTCCAGTGTGCACTCATGATATTATTTCACAAAAGTCAACCCCCTGCTGCTTTGTGAATTTAGAAAGAAAAGTACTGGTGTCATTGTACTCTTTACAGCATTAATAGCTTCAGAGTGAAAACCCAAGTGTTCTTTTTTTTCAGAATCTATTACAGCCTTTTCTACTGCAAGGTTGGACTTTGTTTGTCAAAAGCAACAACTTGTCTCTTCAAGCTGTTTTAATGGATTTCGAAAACAGTTTGCGCCTCTGGTATGAACCTGCAGCAGCAGAAAGAAAGGCCACTGACTTCAGACTGTGGAGAATACCTCGATGAATTTAGACTTTTCATATCCATTTATGTCAGTAGGGGGGAAAAACAAATAGAATTGCGCTGGTATCATTTTCCTTGAAAGTCAGCAGCGCGTATATTTCTTCTTTGATGATATCTGGCAAAACTATAGAGAAAAATGACATGGATTTGTTTCAGTTTTACGCTCAGAGGAGCAAAACAATAGTGATTGACACCGCTCGCGTGGAAAGTGAGGGAAATATCCCCTGATAATTCCTCATCTTTGCTTACAAATGATTATTTCTGGTGTTTTATTTGTTCCTACAAAAATTAAATGTGTTCTGTGTCTGTAGAAGATGTTCTGTTTTTGTCCACTGTATGCCTTTCCATTGTTATTTATTGATACCGGCAGTATCCTCCAAAGACTCTTTTTAGCGCAGAAGTGAAAGGTGCAGTGGTGCTATCTTTGTCTTCTCTCCCCCCTCCTCTTTACCTCTTTCTTTCCCCGCTATCTGCCTCCCCTGGCAGTCTTCACCACAAGTGCAGCCTTTACTAACTAGCTGCACACTCCCACTCATAGGAAAATGATGATGAGACAGAAAAAGCAGCACAGAGACAATGCACAGCGGGAAGAGGGGGAGAGATTTGAGCTGCGGGAGAAGATAGACAACGAGAGAATGAGAGCCATCAGTCTTTTTTATGCACTTTTACCACATATATGTCCATCCCCGGGGAGCACTATGTCTCTGTCTGCCTCTGCCTCTCGTTCTGTGCTTTTCACTTTGTTGTCATCATTCAGTGCGTTTCCCTTCCTTCCCCCCCTCACCACTGTAACTTATTAAATCTCCTCTCACCCCCTTCTTCTGTTTCTCCTCTCCTGTCCTCTCTGCCCTGCAACCTCTCTGTCTTGTGCCGCTAAGTGGACTGCTTATATAACAGTGTACACCTAGAGGGACTCCTCTCACCCAGCCAGCCCGTTCTTCTCACCCCACCCTTATAGTCTCCTGTTTCTTCTCTTCTGCACCACCTTGCCTTCTCTTCTTCCTCCAGAGTCATTTTTCTTCCTCCTTTCTCCTCCTGCTTCTTATATCGCTGGCTTTATGATTGGTGCAAATGGGCCTCCTGCTGTGTAGCTATGTCTACTGAAGCTGAAGTGATAACCAAAACAGTAAAGTAACAGAACCGCATGTTCATCTGGGGATGGACCATGGAAAGATAATTGGCGACACTTGAAATAATTGTTTACAGAAAATAAGAGTTTACCTAGCTGAAATAATTGCCAAATGTCCTGCTCAAATATAAGGAATTGTTTATTTTTAGATCTCACATATTGGGTTTTTGAATGCGGGTTGGACAAAACAAGCATTTTACTCACTTACTGACATTTTTTAGGCTAGAGAGTCAATACATTCATCAGAAATAGTGATTTGTTTAGAAATGTATTGTTGTATCGCACTAGATTCATCCACAGCTTGTACACTGAAGTCCCATGGATACATCAAAAAACGTTTTTATTGTTCGTTAAGTAGCCTCTCGTGCAAATATGTTATATGTTCTCAAGAAGCCAGTAAATCTTAAAGCATAAAGAAAAAAGATATCCCTTGTGAGTTAGCAGCATTTGCTGTACTCTCTCAGTAGAATCGGAGGATGAAACAAACCCTCTTTATTTGTCACACATACATGCACACAGCACACAAAGTGAAATGTGCTCTCTGCTTTTAACCCATAGTACTAGGAGCAGTGGCATTGAGTGTTATCCATACATACTATTTCACTCCACACACACACACACACACACACACACACACACACACACACACACACACACACTTGCGTTCGGCTCCTCTCACCTATTTCTCAATGACTCCATCACTCAGACTTTTTACACGCACATCCAGGATTCTCCTCATGGCATGTTTTCATATTCAACCCTAGCTCTTTCTCCCACTTTCATCTTGGGTCTATCTGCCTACCATTCTTTCTACCGCACACCCCCATTGTACTGCTTTATGCCCTTCTCTCCCCATCCCAAACTTCCTCCCCTCCTCCACCACCAAGCCCCCCTCTCTAAATATAGTCCCTTTGAAGCATAGCTGTGTTGTCTCTCCCTGCAACACTGCAAGACAAAAGTCTGTCATCTCACATCTGAGCAGCGAGGACAGAAAGCACAGATAAGATTGATGGGCCTAAAAAGGAACACTGGTTAAGAGAATTGATATTCATCTGCCTCAGCGTATGTGCAGTGTGTGTAAATGAAGAGGGGAGGAGATAAGAAGGATGGTGCAGGTGAGGATCCAGTAAAGAGTTGTAAGAGAACAGTGAGGAAGATGGCAAGACAGAAAGAGAGGGAGAGGTGTTATGACATTTCTGATCCACATTTTGTAATTGAATAATAATCTCTCAGGGGGCCTGACCCAGTAACGTATGCACGGATACGCACGCAGCTTTGTGCGCGTGTGTGTAGGCACAATGCATACACAGTGAGGGGTGATGTGTGTGCTACTCTAGTCTGTATGTGTGTAATGGAAAGAAGAGAGAAGCAGGGGAGAGAAAGAATGAGTGAAAGAGGGGAGGTTAGCTCTTTAACAACAGACAGCGCAATACCTCCACCTGGTGGTGAAAAAGGGTCATTACTGCTATAGTTGGTGCACGTTACACATCACTGCAGCCAAGTGAATTCCCTTCTCATCAGCTCACCTGCAGGAGCCCTTTTAATGACTTCTACTTTGTATAATTACAGATTGTGTAATTTACATAATAGGTATACTTAGTATTATAAACAGTGAAGATCACAGTGTGGTGGCGGAATGCAAAATCATGCCACATCATCGCCTCAGTGAGGACACTTGAATCACGGATACTGTACTGCCATGTACGTCACGCACACTTTACCTTAGAGTGGCCTTCCTTACCTGCATGCAGCACACTCGTCATAGAGTGTGTCGTCATAATAATATATGTTATTTCTATAGCGCTTTTCTTGAACCCAAAGACGCTTTACATTTGGGAGGGAGGGTAGACAAACAAAACAAAGACAATGCCAAAAATAAACCGTGTGCAGGCCGCCTGACTGTCGTCATAGAAACCGTGTGCAGGCCGACTGACAGGATCTCCTTCCGCCTCGATGACCTGGCTGGCTCAGGGGGAAAGACAAGAGGGCAGATTATCATTCTCAGCACTGTCCTAAGACTCGCTACGAGAAATGAAGAGAGGGAATGTGTGTTTTTATAGGTAGAGGGGGGAGAAAGGTGTAATAGTATCTCGCTCAAAGAGAAGAGGGCGTTAATGTGCGCTTAGGGGAAATGTTTATAGCTCTCTTGCCTCTTTGTGTGGCTTTTACATTTACTATGTGCTCAGTTTTATGTCATTGTAAATTAATTTTCTTGGGTTTCCATTGAAGGGGCCTTGGGACTTTCGGGTCTTGAAAACATGTTTCATTTTTTTACAGACTGAAGGATCAAATGATTGACTATCAAGAGAACTGCGAGGTTAAGGGGACAGTTCAAGCATTTGGAAATTCTCTTATTTGCTTACCTCCCAAGAGTCAGAGTGAGATGAGAAAAACACATCTGTTCAATATGAAGCTACAGTCATGAGCTTAGCTTAGCATAAAGACTGGGAACAGGGGAAACTGCTAGCCTGGCTTTGTCCACTAGTATCTGCTTACCAACACCTTTAAAACTAACCTGTTTACATGATATATCTTGTTTCTTTGTAGAGTCTAAAAACAGTTGTAGTTTTATTAGGTGTTATGTGCTGGGCTATTTCTTGACTGGGAAAAAAAATTGTTTTTCAGGTGTCTGGTTGCCTGGCAACCTAACGCTGGCAACAGGCCTCCAAATGACAAACTCCTCCTTTAACCTTTAATGAAAACAATTGAAGCCCTAGTTACTAATCCACAGTTCTTTCAGGCTTTTCTTCCTATTGTATTTCTCATTACATATTGTTATGCTCATAATGTGTTCTCTGACAATGTGAAATTGTGGCATTATTGAAGTGGAGGCTTTGAATAAGCCTGTTGGTTTTCTGCCATGTATTGTACTCTATCATTTGTTATCTTAGGTATTTTAAATTGAGTAAATAAACCCTAACTTCCCTCTCCTCTTCTATATGTCTTTTTCATTCAGGCTGCGAAAGGAGGGATTCACGGTGCAGGTGAGCGTCAACGACTACCTGGACATCTACTGCCCGCACTACAACACCAGCCAGCGCGGCACGTTGGAGCGCAGCATGGCAGAGCAGTACATCCTCTACATGGTCAATTACCGTGGCTACCGCACCTGCGACCCCCAGCTGGGCTTCAAGCGCTGGGAGTGCAACCGGCCTCACGCGCCCCACGCTCCCATCAAGTTCTCCGAGAAGTTCCAGCGCTACAGCGCCTTCTCGCTGGGCTACGAGTTCAATGTGGGCCAGGAGTACTACTACATCTGTGAGTCAGGCCTGCAGACGCTGGGTTATTGTGATGCTGAACATCTAATATTGTAATATCTTCCCTACAGCTGCTGTCACGTATTGATGGCGAGTGGGTGTTGCTAATAGATTCTGGAAGTTGAGCTGGGGACAAAAGCTGCAGCGCTGCAGTTTGCACAGCTGATGTTGAGGGTGGCCTGCAGAGGGCACAACGTTGACATGATGTGTGTGTGTTTGCTCTGTGTTTTAGCCACGCCCACCCACCACCACGGCCACAGCTGCCTGAGAATGAGGGTCTACGTCTGCTGCTCCACCGGTGAGACCCAACAACCCCGTCTTACCTCCATTTAAATCCATTTCTTCCCCTCATGTGTCACTACCCTTCCACTTTCCTCTCCCCTCATCTTCTAAACACACAGAGGCAGAATGAAACACACAAAGAGACACAAAACTAAGATCTCACAATAGTTTTTTTTGTTGCCGCCTGCTCACTTGTTGAAGTTTTGATGATGGCGTCTTTTCCCTCGAAGCATACTTTGAGAGTGGCGGCTTAATGTTATTCTCTGTCTCAGTGCTATTACAGTAATGCTCTATCTCTCTCTCTGTGAATGACAAGCTCTCGTGAAGCCATTCCAAATATGTAAAGAAAAAAAAAATGCAGCTCTCTCTGTCACTCCCCATCTCTCACTCTCTGCCGAAGCTCTCTTGACCACTCCCTCCCACCTCATCCCTCTCCCCGACTGTCTGTTCCTTCTTCTCTCTCTGGCTCTGTGATGCCTGCTGCCCTGTGTAGTGTGTGTTATTTTTACCCTGGTAGCCTGCTTTCTCCCCTGCAGGCCTTTGATCAGAGAGCCCAGTGCTGAGAGCCCCCCCCCTCTCCTCTAACCTTGTCAGCACTAATACATCCCACACTCAGGCCAGTGTCAGCCCCTGTGTGTACACATCACCTAGACTCACCCCCCCCCCCCGTCCCCCCCCCTCCATCCCAGTGTCACGGCTAATCTATTGATGTGTCTTCCACGCCTCCATTTGCTTCTGTGTGTGTTTGTGTGCATCGCCGCGTGTGTCCGTGCTGTGTGTGTGTTTGTCTACCCACGCTAGTTTTGCTGGCCGTAAATCTTTTTAATGTGTCCGTGTGTGCATGAATGGCTGTGTGTGCATTGGTGCATTTAGTCAGTTTACAATCCACAACCTTTGCTCAGCAAGGTCATTTTAACAGCTTGCTATCAGAACGCTGTTGATTTGAGCTGCCTGCAGGCCGTTTTCATTTTCCCTGCGTGTCTCCCACCTCAACCCTCACTCGACTTTAAGATAAGACAGAGATGTGAATATTCATGACATATGCTTTACATTAGCGGAGAGCTGCAATTTGATTGCTACCAGCTTCGATGTAGATTCACTCTAAATGCTATTTCCTCCTCCTAACTGGGCACAATCAAAGGCTCACAAAGAAGCAGAAAACACACAAAAGACACACCAACACATCATTCATTCATGGGTATTTTGGCAATGCAGACACAAGGTAATTCTATGTCTAGACGGACAGCTAATGTTAAAATGATTTCTGTCAACCGGTTCCAAATGCATTTCATTTTCAGATGGAAGTATGATTCTCAGTGCAGGATTTCTTCAGTGGCACGGGCACACCAACTGCTCCACACTCTGCTATATCTGTATACAATTTAGTGGTGCCTGAAATGCACATTTTACCCTGTCTTCTAATTTTAATGAGGTGTTCTTTTCTGCCTGTCTCTCTACATCGTTATTTCTCCCTCCTCTCTTCTCTCTCTGTGTGTGTGTGTGCTTGTATGTGCTGTGCGCTCAGTTTCCCAGGCAGATGATGACTCCAGTCAGACCTCTCCCGACTACACAGTCAGGCCAAACATCAAAATACACAACATTGGTGAGTGACTGAGCTGCTGAAAATGAACAGCAGCCAGATGCTGGTCAATATTTGGCTGAGTCTGCAAAGCTCAATTTGTGCCTCAATCAATATGGAAAGGAACCAGTCATTTGTTTTTTGTATTCTATGTTTGGCAAAAGAAAATCCACAGACCACGGATGGTTGATGAGTAAACCCTTTATTTTTATGCTCGAGAGACTGATTCAGTAAGACTACAGTATGAGCAGTGCACCTGGAGTGATTCAGCAGTAGTGATACACCATTCATTTCTCATACACATACTGTATTTTGTGTATACAACCCTCATTTACTCAACTACTGTACTTAATTAAAAAATGTTGAAGTACTTTTAGTTTTTCGATTCCTGCTATTTAATTATTCTACTCAACTACAATTCAGGGCCAAATATTGTACTATTACTTTATTCAGATGAATAATACAACATATAATATACATACATAAGACTCCTACTTAACAAGCTGCAACATTAAAGTGATGATTAATATTTATAATGCAAAAAAATGTATTATTAAATGGTCCATTGGACAGAATGAATAAGCTACTTTAGGGACATTTTGATGCTTATACTATTTTATTTTATTTTTTGTAAAGTTTTAAATGCAAGACTCTTAACAGGGTATTTCTACACTGTGGTACTGTCTGAACACTATCCCTGGCCTCATGTTGCCTTACATAAGGTTATTTAAATGAGTTTCACACAGTGATATACACATTTGGGAAACACTGGGAAAGAGTATGAGTATTGGATCAATTTGAAACTCGACATAGCTGATACACCACGTTAAGATATCCTACAAGTCATACACTCACTATCACACTCCCACTCACTCACAGGTAAAACCTCCACAAGGTCAGTAGAGCTCTTGTAGGGAATAAAAGGTCCATGTTTACTTAAAGAGAAAACATGTCAGCGAGCGAGTCAATTGTGCAGCTGAGTGGTTACATAAACCCTGTATTTCTCTTTTTCGCAAAAGCCTCTTGCCGGGAATCATTTAGTATGCTTGTTTCTGGGAGCTGTGGGCAGTCTGTGACGAGGGCTAAGAGAGTGTGACCTGCCTGAGATGGAAACTGAGACCGACAGAGACGCAGCCTAGAGAGCTCTCCAGCCATCAGCACTGAGCAACTTCAGAGAGAGAGAGAGAGAGAGTGAGAGAGAGAGAGTGAGAGGGCAGGACAAATAGAGGGAGGCAGACAGGCAGGAAAGGAGGCTGAAAGAAGGGAGATGAAAGACAGGAAGGAGGCAGGAGAAAGTCTGACAGAAAGAGGGACAGATAAGCCAGAGAGACAGAATAGGGCAGAAAAAGAGATGAAACCAGAGTGGGGGCAGATAAAGGGGGAGGGGGGGGGGGCAGAGGAAGAGAGACGAACTCAGTGGTGGGCGAATTGCTCAGCAGTAACTCGGGCTCGAGCTTACGTAGAATTTAATATAAGAAAACACACACTGGCAGGGAATCAGACAAAATCATAGCCTCCAGCATTGTGATGCATTTTGCTGAATACATTTGGAGGAATAACCAAATGGAGACACACAGATTTATGCATATACTAACACACATACTTAAAAACAACTGTGATGGCCCCGTTGACCGCTGGACTCCCACTCTCTGACTCACCCTCAGGACCAGACTCAGCATCAACACTTCCCTCCTTCTCTCCACATAGGCTTTGGACTTTCCGACATCCTCGTTACTTTAATATTAGCTCTGCTTCTACGTCACATTGTTCTTATTTAACAGGGTGTTTTCAGGATAAGTCCGGCCTCTTATGACTTCTTGTTTTCGTAATGTCTAAAGGTCGTATTAGGACTGATAAGTTAGTAGCTGAAATGTCGAAACATAGGTCAGATATGGTAAGAAACATTAGCATTGAGAAAACATACTTTTAAGAGTTAAAGTCAAAGCCAACAATACAAATAGTACTCAAGCTGTCGGCTGTAATCATTGCAGTTCATCAGTTGTGAAATGAGACGCTGCCACCATTTGCAATCTGTGTGCAAGCGGTGCGTGTGAAGCCCTTTTGGTAAATGGGACGCTGTTGGCTTGTTTACAACCTGCCTGATCATCTGACTGGCTCTTCTTTGTTGCGCCATTAGACAGTCTTCCAATATCATTATTTTGATGATTCCACTATTTAACCCAAATGAGAAAAACAATATCCATGTTGTAATTAAGCAGAATTAATCATCCTTTAAGTGTGAATCAACTTCATTTATCTTCTTTTATGATTTATATTCTCTAAATCCCTTGACACACACAGTTGCTCTATATAGCAGAAAGCAGATATTCATTATGCTTGAGCATCTGGAAACAAACGGCTTGTTGCCACAAATGTGCCACAAGGGTTCAACATCAGTCTATAGTTTCCGGCAGCAAAGCTTTGTATACTCTGTCCTATCTGCCATCTGTGACTTGCCCTTAAACAACTTCCTCCTATATTGAGTGCCTGCAGCAGTACATGGCTGATGGCTGCACTATAAATAAGGTGCTGGACCGGAAAATGCAACAGATCATTTTGAGACGCGTCAATAGGCTCTGGCACATTTGATTAATCTGTTCTGAGTGGCTTGTTATGTGCAGATTCTTTCTGAAAATCATTCATGAGGTATAGCTGTGATGCACCGAGCAAACTGAGACCAGGGCTTCATGGGCATGAAGAGTTTAAACACTGATTCAGAAACATGGTGGACTTCCTCTGGTGCAGATACACCCTGTCAAGCTAGCCTCTTAACCTTTGTTGCCTTATCAAAGCAACAATAGATTTGAACTGGTCAAAGACAAGCACAGATCATAGTAGATTTGTGTAGGTATATAGAGCCTATATCGAATATTGCCTTTTCACAAGAGATATTGTGAATGGGGGAAATAGTGATTTATTGTGATAAGGGCTTATTTTGTTTTGTTGTAAGAGTATTTATCAGTATTAAGTTATTCATCCATCACCCCATTTACAATTGACATGAAGATCAGCAATTAAGTTCAGGTCATTTGGGCCTTCTAAGAGGTATTCATATTAGATTTGTTTATTCTGTTGTAGTCCTACCAGAAGCTGCATCTCTTTTTATATAAGCTTGTTTCAATTGTGTTGATGCTAGTTTCCTTAGAGGTAGCTCCAGGTAGCAACAGTATGAAGAAAGATGTGCCGTAAGCCAGTTCATTGCCCTCCATACTATAACTCAGCCCCCCCCGACCTTTAGAGCTCTTCCCATACACGATGGGTCCATCGGCTCCTGTTGTTTACGCCTCACTGCGAGCCTACCATGGCTGTGGCACGAGATGTTATCAGACCAGACAACTCATCAACAGTCTGGAGCTGATGTTTCTTATCTCACTGTAAATGCCCCCGGCACTTTCCCGTGGACAGGAGAGCTCCTTCACCAGCGTGCTCCCCACTCAGGCGAGACTGCAACACATTATAGGCTTGGAAATTGATTTCTGTATCCCACAATTGTACTATGATGTTAGGTGTCATACTGTGGACCTTTGATAACTTGTTATGGCCCGAGGCGCCCGCCGCCCCCCCCACACTCACCTTCCAACAGCGGCATCTCAAAATAGCAAGGGTTTCAGAAAAGTCCAGCTTTGTGTTTGTCAAAGCTTCTAGCATCCACAAAACAATCTGTAACACCACACGAACTTAACCACTATAGTGGAGTGGAGCTGTGGCTGCATATTTTTGTTTATGTAAAGATAAGGGAGAGCTCACTTCAGCAGACATGGCTGAAGACTCTTCCATTGGTCACTCAGTGAAATAAACTATAATCTGTGGAGTGGTGGTTCACTGAACATCCCAGGCGGTGTGCACATTAAAACACTGGATCCAGCAGGCCGTTTAACATTTTATTTTATAATCTGGTGGTTTGGGGGGCGGTTACAGCACGTGTGAAGAATATGGATGTTTTTATATCATGTAATACATCCACAGGATTAACTGCTCACTTTCCTTCAACATATTCCTTCCTTAATCAAAAGGAAAAGCGCTTTGTTCTGCAGCCTCTGGATGGAAGGAAGGGAGTGACAGGCCTGAAGGGCGGAGTTTATAGACCTTGGTAGGGAGTGGTCTACATGTGATTGACACTAGTGACTCAGGTAGAGAGGAGAGTTAGGATTTTTAACACTCAGTGTATATTGACATTTTTGTAGAGACGAACCGGACAGACACTGCGACCTGAGGCCCCGCCCCGAGGTAGTGCTGGTTTATATTCTCCCTGACAGACTGTTTTCAGTTTGAGTTCATGCCGGTGCACTGTGGTGTGAATGTCAGTGTTGTGTGTCATCGCCACTGACAGATGCCTCGTGTTCCTTAAGAACAAGGACGTGGGCAAGTGCCAGTCACAAGCAGGACAAACCAGAGCGGTCGGATGGTTTCCTCTCAGACAGACGTGGCACCAACAGAATTCCGTACATTCATCAGACATCAGCTGTCATGTTTTGTTGTTGCTATCTCTTATCACATGCCTTGTTTTAACTTGCAGACATTTACTGTCTGCGTCATATTTCGCAAACACCAGGCAAGGATTTAGCCTAACAGTGAAACAGCATTTTGAAAATGTATTGCCAGCTTAGTTTGTTGTATCCTTGGTTGAAAGCCAGTTTGATTTATTAGATAAAGATACGCCAACTGGAACTCTTACACACTGGGACATGATGTAAAGTAAATGTAATGAGTTTTGGATAGACAAACGCAAGATTTGTCTTGGTTTTTAGAGACAATTTATCAAATAGATATCTCCTTTCTTGAGTCAAAACAAGTATTTGTCCTCTTTCCAGTGTCAATTTGATGTTTTAACCCAAATCATTTTCTAATAATACAACATAACATCAGTATGACAGCTCCTCTATTATCCCCACTTCACTTACACATGTTTATATCTCTTATTTGCATTAATGTGAGTTATTTCAAGATGAAATTGTAGCTTTTTTCTGCATTTAGTTTAATTACTTTATAGAAAGAAAAAACGTTTTCTCAGTGGAGCCAGTCCAGGCTTTTCTTACGGTTGTGTAAGCAACACAGCCCTGTCTGGTTCCTTTTGTTTTATTTTTTTCTAGAGTCTAGATATAATGGGAAACATGATGTTCAGACAGAGCATAATGACTCAGTGCAATCCACCTTTTACTGAATATTAAAAAGTGTGTTCTCGCAGCTCTTTCTCCGTCTTTCCCCTCCAGCTAATGTTCTGTTGTGTCTAATCAATGGCAAGGCCACAGTAATTTGGTTTGATTGAAATCCCTCTAGGATAAAATCATCATTAGTGTGAAAAGAGGAATATATGAAAAAAACAGATCAACAACAAAAGTGTTTTTTTAATTCTCCATCCCACAGGGGGGAAAGGCCCATATGTACTGTAGCAGTGCTGATGATAATTGGTTGTTTGTTAATTGCACCATGCCATTTGCTCTGCATATGTTAAAGCACAATTAGCATGCATCACACATTGCCTTTAGATTGATGAATTAATAATGTAGTAATGGTTTGTTTCCTTCTGTCTGACACACAAATGCACATACACACACCATCCATGTATCTTGTTCTTTCACACTCACGTTCTTCTCTCTTCTCACTTGTTCTCTTTCTGTGACTTTCTCTCCAGATGAATTTAACCCTGAAGTTCCCAAACTGGAGAAAAGCGTCAGTGGCAGCAGCCCATCACGTGACCGCCTTATTCTCACCGTGGCGATGCTGCTCCTGTCTGCCGTCCTGTTGTCCTAGCGACGTGTCACCGTGAGTGACACTTGATGCATAGCTGGGACCGCCTTGTCCGAAGGGCTTTGTATCCACCCAGTTGTGAACGTTGGCAGAAACACAGAGGAGGACAAAGTAGAGGAGCAACAGAACCACAAACAAAAGGACGAAGGAAAAATTCTTGAGTAAACTTCACTAGACTTTTAAAAAAAAAAAAAAGGAGAGGCCTTTTTGCTGTCATATGTACATCAGTGTAGTTTGACCCTCCATGTGTCGTTGAACATCATCGTCATATGAATACCACAGCATTTTTTCATGTAGGTGTGTTTGCTACAACATGGAGACCACAACCAATATTCAGCCAGCAGGCAAGTGAGTAAGAGGAATACTAATGAGTTGGATGTAGACTACACACTCTTTTTGTAGCATGGATATTTAAAAAAATCACCTGTGGAATCGTAAGCAGCTCTGTCTTCAGCTTTTTTGTGACTGTAGGCTTTGAAGAATTTGGCGAACTTCGACTTTGCAGTGGAAGTTTAGGCCTTGGACCATGGACAAAGTGTACTGATGGATGAAAATCAACTAAGATGCAGTAAAAAAGCAAGCTGGACTTTGGATGTGTACTAATATCTATACAGGGTATGTATATTCAGTCGTTGATGAGAACTGCTGCCATTATCCTGGAAATAGAAGAATGTTGTTGAGCTGGTATACGAGGGAGCTGCTGGTTATAAATGCTCAAAATGTCTCTTTAGAAAAGTGGAAGACTTTGTGAGGATATCCACGGGCCTTTCAAGAATCCATTTTCACCAGACATCAGAAATACCCCTGGCTTTGTGATAGGTACAGATGCAAGGCCTGCGTTTGTTAAGAGATAGCGAGTGCCCTCTTACAACAAGTCCTTTGTCTGCATTTCCTGCCTTCACACTGTAACAACCCTAGAAAAATACAGACCCTGGACTAGTAATTTGACGGCATTTAAATGTGGTAGATGTGTGTTTTGTTCCAAGGCATTGACCTTCAGCACTTGGCGTTGTTTTCCCCGGATGTCAACCCTTTCTCCTCGCAGCAATCAGCATGACTCATTCAGAATAACACTAATTTACAATTCTTAAAAACCTCTCTCCGCAGCGAGTTCCCTTTTAATCCCAGACAACCCCATCTATTTCCTTTCCACTTCACATGTTCCCAGCCAATCAGTGCTGATGGCCATTACAGCAGTCACAGTCACCATGGAAACGACCCCATACAGTTGCCAGAGTGCGACAGGTGCCTGAGGAGAAACGGTGCTTTGAGTCTCAAAGTAACGCTGCCGCCATTTTGTTAGGGAAAAAAAATAAACCACGTGTGAATGTGCAAATAAAGTTCACTTTTTTATATTGTTATACAGGACAACGTAGGCTGGCATTAATCAGATTACAATGTTGTGCTTTTTTAATTTATTTACTTTTCAAATGTATTTATTTTAACATTAAAGTATATTATTTATCTAATTTATTAATGTGCATTTGAAGGCCTTTGCTCGATAAGCTACTGTGCCATTTTTGTATTCTTCTTTTTAAACAGTGACATTTTTACTGCAGCATTTTGCTTGTGTAGATAACTAGGCAGATGTTATTATGCCTGACAAAAAGAGAGGGGTATTGGTTATGACTAATCAGTTGGGATATACACTCAGTGACCCTGCTCTCATGTAACAGGTACTGCTAAACAGATTATGTTGAAGCGCATGTCATAAACCAACTAATGCAAAGACGCAGTTGACGGAAGGGCAGCGCTCCTCCAGTGCTGCACTTGCGAAAACGAAGGAGTCTGCATTGTAATGTATATTTATAATACATGCCGGTAATGGAATGTGTGTGCGTGTGCGTGTGCGTGTGTGTGTGTGTGTGTGTGTGTGTGTGTGTGTGTGTGTGTGGTGTGTGTGTGTGTGTGTGTGTGTGTGTGTGTGTGTGTGTGTGTGTGTGTGTGTGTGTGTGTGTGTGTGTGTGTGTGTGTGTGTGTGTGTGTGTGTGTGTGTGTGCGAGCGAGCAAGAGAAAAAAACATGTGTGCACATTTGTGTGCGTATGTATGTAGAATGTGTTTGTCTGCGCTTTTTCGAGTATGTTGCATTTAGGAATTTCGTACCCGTCAAGGAGTCGTTTGTAGGATCTGAATATGCAAGTGAGTTGCGAGAGAATGTGCTCTTCTGTAATGTTAGTTTACGTTACGGGGTTTGGGAAGCGGGCGAAAAGCATTTACTGGTGTTGAAGACAACCACAAGAAATGTGTTTACCTTTGACAATAATGAGTAAAAAAAACTGTAAATTGATCCAAGAATGTTTAAAACAATGACGATTAAAATCTTTTTGCAGATTTACTTCTGTGTGTTTATTTATCAGTGTGTAACAAACTCTCTGTACTGTGCATAAAAGACATGCAGCCTTCTCCTTCACCCTGTTCCCTTACTTTATCTCAACAGTGACTCCTTCACCTTCACTCACTTCTGTTTGTTTTTCTGAAGCACCATACTTGAAAGCGAGGCTCTCCCTCTTTCTCTCACACTCCACTTTTAGATATGTTGGTTGTGAGTTGATAGCGCTCCTTGCTACACATACTCTTGGTGTAAAACTATCACCCTTTCTCACATAGCTCATCTTTACGGCACCTCGCTTCAGTTTCCCAAACACTTCTTCTGCCATAAAACATAATGACAGCGTGGGGGGGAGTCACGACTCCACATCTACCACTCGATCCATCTCTCTCTGTTAAAAAAAGAAAAAATAACACCTGCAAGCCATTCATGTCTCCCCAAATATTTTACATCACTCTCTTTCCCTTTGCCCGTCGGCAGGCCCGGACTGGCCATCGGGAGGACCGGGAGGTTTCCCGATGGCCTGGCCTGCTAAGTGGCCTGCTGGCCTGAGGATTTCTTTTTTTATACGTATGTATTGTGAACGCAACGCTGCGCAAATGTGGGTCTGACTCTGCCTCACAGAGGGTGACTGGCTGTCTACATGATGTGGCCTGCCGACATGGCCACTTTCATACAGATCATACTAATGCCCTCGATTGGCTTGTGTGTGTCATTCAAGCTCGGGAGGGTGTGTGTTATGTGTGGGGCGAGTGAGATAAAGCACGCGCACCGGTTACGTGTATTGTTGTTGTTAGCATCTGGTGCTAGCTAGCTGCGCTAACGGATATAAGGAGCTGTTTCAACAACAAGGTGGGGGAGAGTCCTCTCCTGTCAGACTGAGAGACTGATAACTACAACTCGGGTGAAGTAAAGGACTCTGAGTGTTTAGATAGTTAACTTAGTCTAAGTTCTCTGTGGGTCTCAAACGGTTTGGTCACCATTTATGTAAACACATAGGCCTATTTCCATTTTAGGGGGGAGTGATTAGTAAAATATGCATGAATAATAAGAAAATAAAAACGTTAACTAGGTGAAAAAAGGCAAGATAAACTATTAAAACTTGTTGAGAGCTAAAACTAGTCTTTGCTTCTGCCTCAAAGAGGAGCGGGGGGAGAGGAGGGAGACGGGTGAGGCTGGTTCAGGAGCCCAGACACACTCACAACTATAAATGAACCAAAAACAAATAAATAAACAAGTTTCAGTGTTTTTTCATATTGGATATGGTATGTTATTGGTTATAGCCATGTTCTTATGATTTTATGATTATTTAAATGTATACAGTTATGTTTCATATGGGTGTAATCTCTTTATTTCCCCCTCAAAGTGCACCAGATTGATGCATTTAAGTAAAAAATCTTACCGGGGGAGCATGTCCATATGTTTATTTTTGGGTAGTAGATTTAGAGGGCTATCACTGCAGCAACGCTGTGAATATTGACAAATAAATCCAGCAAAATGGCACAAAAAACTGGTAGTGGCCTGGCTGGGTGTATAATTCCCGGCCTGACTTATTGTCCCAGTCCGGCCCTGCCCGTCGGCTTCTTTCTAATCTTTGTACGCGGAACAGAAAGAATCTGACAACGAGGACGGACACACGTCTTAGATGCACTAATGTCCATGTCTAAAGGGACGGATAGGGCAGATTAGATGTTGTCTTTGATGTTGCACATCAGGCCAGATATCACATTAGAGAGAAAGAAGTAGAGCAGACTCTGCTGTCGGCTGTCAAACCCCTCACTTCCAGACCTGGGTCAAAGAGTGTTTGCATGTGTGTGCAAAGGCAGAGCATGCGCCAAGAAACGTTCCAAGTTAATTTAATATACTTTGTGAGTGACAATATACTCAACAAAATGTGAGCCGTAGCCTACTTAAACCAGCAGGTAAATTAAGCGATCCCGTCTATTATGTGTTTCACAGCTGTTTGACTTTGATTCGGTCTGACATTTTGAGCTTTTAGCCTGATAATTGTTGAATATCACAGTATGTGTTGGCTTACAATCCTTTGCCTACTTTGGACTTGCACATTAAAGTTTCAGTGTTTTGACACTGAGAGAACAGGAGAAGGGTTTTAGCTTCTGCTCGAGGGCCTAAGTTGGCAACTTAAACCATCATTTTGCAAGAAATCAGCCGGCTTCGTTTCCTGCAGTGAGGCTTTCTCTGGATAGTTATGTAAGGGAATTAACACCGTTATATTTACACCTTAAATTCCTGTCTGAAATGTATGGTTTGCTTTGGCCTAAATTCAATCTTAATTGATCTGAGGATGTGGATTAAAAATTGCCGACTCTTTCCTAAGCAGCTGACACAGATTCTCACTTTTCCACAGAGAAACAGATATCCAGCATCGCTCGGTCCAGACTCTAACTGCGGAAGACATTCCATTTAGAAAAAGGAGATGACCTGTTCCACGTTAGAAGACTTATCGTTTTCTGAATCATTTACTGTGAGATAAGCCATCTGTAGCACGAGCAGGCCTTTGCCGTCGTCGAGAATAATTCCCCTGACAAGCTGCACCGTCTGGCCCAAACAATAAAACAGATGCCTCCTCCTAAGAGATCTTGTTATAGCTCAGGACATCAATGAGACAATCACCGAGACGGTGCCTTCATGTGCTGTTTGGAAACTCCGCTTTCAGGGTTTGAGGTCGTAAAAATGTTTTATGTTTAAGCAAGATGCCTCTGGCTAGTAAATAATGCAAATGACATAATTACGTTGTTTAAGTTCTATTTTTGGAAACATGCAGCACAGTAAAGAATGTTTGCCAGATGCTTTTGTCCAACGAAACACATTCCACATTAGTAGCTACAC